AAGCCCAAAGTCAACTGGGAATCAAAGCCCAACATATGGCCCAATTTTCCACATTGGGCCCAAGCCTATACATGGTCTTATTCTAAGGCCCAACATCATATAATCATTAAGGCCCAAACTATGGCCCAATTTTCCAAATTGGGCCCAACTCCTCATATAGGCCTCACATCAAAGCCCATTAATAATCCAATCATCATGGCCCAATAGAAAGGCCCAACAATAAACCCAAGTGAAATTATGTTTTCACATAAAATGACGATTAGGGCTAAGTGTTTCTCACTTAACCCATTAAGGACTTAATCCTCTAAGGACTTAATCCATTAAGTCCAATATTGCTTATATTAATATTTTCCAATGATTATTATTTAATATCTCAAGTTATTAAATAATTCCCGTGTCCCGGTTAATTCCCCAAATTAGGGTTTTATTGGCATTAGGGTTTTCCAAACCCTAATTAGGGTTTCCAATCCAAATATTAGCCTATTTATCAATTTGTTGGGCTTTTAGGTCAATTAGGGTCCATTAGACCCACTAGGGTTTTCACTAAGCCCATTAGGCTTCATTGGGCCCATTAGGGCTTACAAGGACCATTAGGGTTTCAAGTACCCCAAACGAATCATACTCAACGAGGCTAGCACACCGCCACCCGACACGGCGGCCGGTGGCGGCAGCCACCACCCTACGGTGGTGGTTTGAGTTTCTTTTCATTATTGCATCGTTACAATTTAAAACTCCATCCAATTAACAGACACGAACACTAATGACACAGACACCCACTAGTAAACACACACACACAGCCACCTCGTGGTGGCCGGTGGTGGTATATGGCCGCAGAAAGACTATAACCGGCGGCAACCACCATGGTTGGGTGCCATGGTGGTGCACTAGCTTTCCGGCGACACAAACATCCCAAACACACAATCATTGAACTTGTAACAGTAGCACCCAGACGCTAACACAATTAGAATTCTCGGAAACCCACCCGACATGGCTGCCCTCGAGGTGGCAGCGAAAGTCAGGACACGGCAGGAGTTCTTCAGCCTCCCCGGAGTGACGACGATGGCGGCCATTGGCAGCAGAAGATAGAGGCAAGGAATGAGCACAACTTTCAACGGGGAACAACGGAAAAAACGTGTGATTCCTTCATCTCTTCATCTCCGCCATCCGTCAACCGACTCGTCGGTCCCTCAATAACTGGCGTCTCCGACAGCAACGTGGCATGGTGATGGCGTAGGAACGACAGCAGCGGGCTTGGCAATGCAGCGGCACGACGGCGGCAGTGGGGAGGAAAGATGCGACTGAGATGACGAAGGGGTGATGGCGATGATTGCACCCAGTTGTTCCGGCCTTGGAGACATCCATCGCAACGTTGTTCGTCGCCGGCCATCTTGGTTCTTCGGTGGCCTGGGTCGGTCGGAGAAGTTAGGTAGAATGGGGTGGCGACTGGCAGTTGGGAGGCACAAGGGGGGAGGGGTGACGGCTGCTGCATAAGGGAGGGTCTAGGTTTAGGGTTTGACTGATAATGTGATTATATACCCGATTCCTCTTAAAAGTTTGCCATAGTGGCAACATCAGTCCCTCCATGCCCCCTTTTTTTTCAAATGCCATCCCATATTTACCCTTTCAACCCAATCCATGGAAATCCCTTACAAATTAAGTCTCATAAATTACCAAACAGCCCCCAATATCTTAATTATGACATAATCAGCCCTTCCACCTCATTTCCTTTTTAAATTAAATCCAAATAATCACCACGGAGCCCCTGTCTTCATAAATATTATAAACTGAGACCGAAAATTACACTTTTAACCCTCAATTTCCGAGTTATACCAATCAACTCCTCGAAACCCACACCCTGCGTATAATTATTGATTTAGGGCTACTATACATTCATTAATTAATTAATTTATTTAATAAATACACAAGGTGTTACAAAAATCCAATTCTGTTATAAATGGAGTCTTAATTTTAAGGCAGGGAATCTCAAGTTACCAAGAGAAAGAAAGAATGAGGAGTCGGGAGGGAAGAATAACAATTGTTGTTGTTACTTTTTTTGCTTCTGAAACTTTCAAAAATAGGTAAGCTTCCTTATTTATTATTCTTTTATCATTGATTGGTTTGATTTCTTTGGAAAAGAGAAAGATGTTTTCTTGGTTTGATGCTCTAAGTGGATGATAATAAAACATGCCTTCCAAGTGTTTGATATAATGTCCAAAAGAGAAGGTTTTGTTGTAAATGAGGTAATTTTGATATGTTGAACTTTTTGGGAAGATTCTATCAGAATCTGAGGTAATTTTGATATGTTGAACTATTTTGGATGATAATGAAACATGCCTTTACATGTTCTTTTTTCTCTTTTGATTACAAATGCTAATATTCAGGGGTTTTTTTGTGTGTGTTCAAGCATAACTAATTATTAGTAGAACAAAGCTAAATTAACTAGCATTATTCAAAAATGTCACATGAGTGACGCCCTTCAGTTTTGGTTTAAAAAAAAAATTATAATTTTTTCAAGTTATATGGAAATGAGGATTTGTAATTTAATATTACAACTTTTATTATTATTATAGGTCTATCATATGTAATTGTATTTTATTATTACATAGCTTTTTATGGGTTTAGGTTTCGAAGAGGCTACCATTGATGTAGAATCGAGTTCAAGAAGATACAAATACATACAATGAATGTTATTTCAAAGCTGCAAATTCTTTCAGAATGAGCTAACACAATATTATTTTAGAATGAGGTTAGTAACACTCATTGATTTGATGCCTACTATTTTGACAAACATGGTAAATGATAGTGTAAGAATTGATTGAAAGCCTTTCAGCAAAGCATCATGAAGCAATGAGTAAATTCTATAAGCATTCTTTCAATAGTATTCTCATAGAATATCATTGTTGTAAGAATGGTTTGCTAAAATTTACTATTTTTTCTATTGTAGAAAAATTTCAAGATTGTTAAATTGCAAATTGTTGGTTTGTTAAGTTTTATCATCTAGAAATACTATTGCAAGTTTCAAGTAAGCAGTTATCGCGGTCGAAATTTCAATAGCGGTCACATGCCGCTATATGAAATTGCGGTTGTCGCGGTGGTATAGCAGTGGTATAGCAAAAAACATCATTATAACAGAAAACATTCTCACAGAATAAAATCGGTTATTTTTACAAATTGTGTTAGAATTAAAATTGAATTAATTTAAAAATTCAGATTTTCAAAATTAGGAGAATTAAGTATCCCTAAAAATCTAAAATTTCCTTTTTAAAATATAGTTAATTGTCCAAAGTACCCTTATGTTGAAATTTGCGTGATTATATGGTGTATGTTACCCTATTGTAATATCATAGACTCTCAAATCTTGAACTTAGATTCTATTCCATCCGGTGGTCCAGGTCTATGCATTCTGGCACACAATAGTTAGTAAAAACAAAATAACCTAAACATATATATATATAGGGAGTGGTTCACATGAGAACCACAAAAGATTAAGAACCGTAAGAACCCCATTTTATAAGCAAATATGTACACAATACTTATTAAACATGTTAAAATCCGGACTTATTTTGTATTTTTGGTACGAAAATGGCAAAATTGTAATTTTTGCAGTCTAATATTTTAATTCATACATCGATTCATATTTTAACACAAAAATTATACAAAATACAAAATTTAATACAATCTATTCATAATTTAGTATACAAAATTCACAATTTAATACAATCATAATATCACTAATTAACTAATTTAGGAAAGCCAAACTCAAACTCTACCACCACCAACTACCACATATGAGCACCATCCATCTATATCAACGTCATAACCATCATTCCTTTCAAACCAAATCTACAGATAAAATCATACATTGTTAGCTTAATATTATATTCACGGTTTAATAAACATATTAATTCATTAATTTTAAGTTTAATGCAACAGTTATAAAAACTAATACATTCTTACATATTTACTTCACAAAAAATACTCACAAGAAAATTAATAAAAATGTTTATATTTTAACTTAAAATTCATAAAAAAGTCACAATTTAATACAATCAATTCACAGCTTAATACAGTCAATACACAAAATTAACAACTTAATATATTAAATTCATAGTTTAATACACAAAAACTATATATTCACATCCATATTTTGTACTTAGTAGCTATATTTATACCTTCAAATATGTGGGCTAGTTTTTCTTTCAAATTTTAATTTATATAATATTCACAATTTAAATTTTACATGTTATTCAAAAGTAGAGAAAATAAAATCTATATATAATGCTTCTTTCATCTTATATTTTAGAAGCAAAAATAAAACCCGTACAAAATTAACAACTTAATACATTTAATTCACAATTTAAAACACAAATTCACAGTTTAATAAAATATATTTACAGGTTAACATTTACATCTGATGAGGTTTGGATCTTGGAGGTTATATTATATTATAGTTCACACACTCATCACAATTCACAATTTAAAAAAACTAAATTCATATTATTTGAGAAAACACTAATATAATAAAAACACGTTTAAATTCATATTAAAACTTATAAAAATTCATACATATACTGCTTAAAACTTATAAAAATTCATTTAATCACAACTAAAATTTATGAAAAAAAAAATTATACATTCACAACTTAATACTTACAAAAAATCATGTATTCATACCTTATTTTTTTTTCTAATTGAAACAATTAGATATGTATTAATACCATGCATTAACAACTTAATAATTATAAAAAAAATGCTTCTTCACAACTTAAGAAACTAGTTCAAAAACTTATTCATATTATTCAATGTTTAAAAACATACATTGTTTTTGGTGAAGCATTTCATCAAACACCTTCAATGCATCTTATATCCAAATCTGAGATTGTTCCCTTGCTTCAAATCCATGAGCACTGATGGTAGGTAGCAACAACGGTGGTGCGGCGTTGGTTACTGTATAGGTGGAGTCACATCAATGGTGGTAACATCAGATCTGGATGTCAGATATGTTGGCTGTGATTTCCGTCAGATCTATTGTTCCGGCGAAGCAAATCGAAGAAGTTTTCTTGTATTCCATCAGATCTGGATGTCGAAGATCTGGAGACAAACTAGATTTGGACTTCAGAGCAGAGTGTGACGTTTTTTGGTGTTCCAACGAAGCACAATAGCTGATGTTAGGTGGTGGTCGGTGGTGATAAGGTCGACTATCAGATCTAACCAAATTGCACCAGATCTGATATGTTTTGTGTTTTAGAGAGAGAAAATGGAGCTCAAACAACTTATTGACTTTAGATCTGAAACCAAATAACAATCAACAGTGATGGAGGAAGGTGGTGGTTATCATCGCTCGTCGGAGCTCATAATCCGGAGGAGAAAATCGAAGATTTGAAGTCGAAAATAGTAGATCTGAAGACGAAAATTATAGATTTGAAGAGAGAAATCATAGATCTGAAGCTGAAATTGTAGATCTGAAGAGGAAAATTGTAGATCTGAAGCTGAAATTGTAGATCTGGAGCCAACCGGAACTTGTGGATCTGATGGCGGTGGTTCATCGGTGGTAGGAGGCGGCGGCGGTTCGCCGACGGTAGGAGGCGGTGGCAGTCAAGGGTGATGGTTGGTGGCTAACTGGTGGTAATGTTTGTGTGTTCTTCAAGTTTGAAATGAGAGAGAAAATAACCATGTAAGAATGTATGTAGTATTTGTAGATCTGGTTATAAAATGGGGTTCTTACGGTTCTTAATTTTTAGTGGTTCTCATTTGAACCTTTACCTATATATATATATATATATATATATATATATATATATATATATATATATATATATATATATATATATATATATATAATTTGGTTTGTGAAAATTCATCCCATTCCTACATGCAAACCAAACATGATCATGGAATGTAATGACTCATTCCATTACCTTAACCATTCCATTCCATTCCATTCCTCCATCATTCCGTTCCATCCAACCAAATGGAGAAAGTGGATTCTATCAGAAGAGCATCAAGAAACCAACCAAATCCAATTCTAGTTCTTGCAATCCTTGCAAAAGACATTGGTGAATTAGCCACAAAAGAAAGGAAAATGTTCGGTCCAACTTTAAAAAGATGGCACCCTCTTGCAGCTGGTGTTGTTGTTGCCACTCTCTATGTCTGCTATTGAAACAAATTAAAACAATTCATTTCAGGAATTACCGAATTAACCCCGGAAGCACTTCAAGTATTAAGAGTTGCAGATAAGTTCGAAAAAGACCTTGTATAGATTGCAGTTGAAGATTCAGTTGATAGTGATGATGGTTAAAAAGCAATCATAAGGGAAATTCCACCTTTTGAAGCTGAATTTGCAATTGCAAATTTGGTCAAATGGTGGACTAAGTTGAGATTAGACAGGTTGAAAGGGTGGGTTGATAGAAATCTCCAACAAGAGGTCAGTTTTTTAAATAAAAAACAATGTAATTCGGAGGGCATTTATGGTATTTGACAACAAATCTCAAATAACAGGTGTGGAATCCATGAGCTAATTAAGAAGTATATGCTCCCTCAGTTGTTGAAGTCTTGAGAATTATAGATGAAACTTTTGATGCTTTTTTTAATCTCCTAATTCCAATGCATCCAGCTTTGCTTCCTGATTTAGTTCTTGCCTTGATCGATGTCTCTAATATTACTCGGCCAAAGTTAAATCAGGCTGTGGTAATTACTAATTACTTCAAGGGATAATGACTTAGGAGACTATTGAAGTTTCAAATTTGTTCAAAAAACACCATTCAAGTATTACATGTTCAAAAAACACTATCAAACTAAGACATATGCTCAAAAAACACCAACGAAGTGTATGTTCTGTTCAAAAAACACCATCTCTATGGTTTGAGGCAACTTACATGTTTAGTCCCTAATTTTTTTTCTTAACTCAAACGGTCCCTAGTGTTTATATTTATTTACCTTTGGACCCTGAAACAAATATAAACTATAGGGACCATCCTAGTTGATAAAAAAAGTTAGGGACTAAATATGTAAGTTACTCCAAACCATAGAGATGATGTTTTTTGAACAGAACATGTATTTTGTTGGTGTTTTTTGAACATATATCTTATTTTGATGGTGTTTTTTGATCATGTAATACTTGAGTAGTTTTTTTTAAGGAATTTGAAACTTCAATGGCCTCCTAATTCATTTTTCCTTATTTCAACATCAACCTTCTTTTAATTAATTCAAATTAGGGTTTTGTAATTACATTGTTTACATAACAAGTTTTTTATTTACAGGATCAAGAAACACATATATTCCCACTCTTCTCGCATTAACCCGATGCACAACCAAGACAAAATTCCACCGTGTTTTCAAGAAAAAGGAAAAACTACAACTTTACAAAGAAGAAATTCTCAAGTCTCCACAACAAATGACAATACATTAGGTGTCCCACAACTATGTGTACGTATAAACACTCTCCGAAAAAACCGATCCGAACTCGAAACAATCGAAAAACGAATCATAACCCTTTTGCAAAATTCTGAATCTGCCCATGTATTCGACTTCTAAAACGGATTATATAAAAAAAAAATCGAACTCAACCGCTTACAAAATCGTGTTTCAGGATCTTCGAAACTTGTTATGAGACAAACTTTACGTAGGTAGGCTCACATGTTCCCGAATTGAACCTTTCCTTCAAGAACTCGAGCAAAATTTAACGGTTGTTGCAGATAATGTGCAACACGAAAGGATTCGAACGCGGTTAGTTGTGGAAATAATGAAAGCGAGTTTTGAAGGATGGTTGTTGGTTTTACTTGGAGGTGGGCCCACGAGGTGTTTTACTATACAAGATTCGAGAGGGATTGAAGATGATTTTAAGGCGATTAAAGATTTGTTTTTTGCAAATGGTGATGGGTTGTCTATGGATGTGACTAACAAGTTTCCGATTGTTGTGAGAGATGTGATTTCTCTTTTTGGGATGGAAACGGAGACGGTTGTGGAGCGGTTTGGGCGGTTGACTTTGGAGGCGTACGAGTCGTCTGCTAAATCTAGACTCCCGTTGCTTGCGAGGCTGTGACGTACGACTACGGGTCAATGGAGTTCGAATGATCCGAATACGCTTTTGCGTGTTTTGTGTTATCGAAATGATGATTCAGCCTCGAAGTTTCTTAAGAAAACGTATAATTTGCCAAAGAAAATTTGATGATTTGGTGGTGGAAAATTGGTTAGTTTGTGTATAGTTGATCTTCGAGTGTCGTTTCTGTTGAGGGAGGGTAAGGTGACATGTGAAGATTGATTCATTATTGTTGAGTGTTAATATAAGTTCTTAGGATCTTTTTTTACTTGTGCTTCTAGGATGGATTTGTTGATTGTTTTGTTTTGATGGGAGAAATTGTTTCTCTTTTGAGGAGATGTTTTTCAGGATAGGTGTAGTTGGGCGTAAAACGGTTGGTGTTAAATTCGTATTAGGTATTTATTTATGATTTTGTATAGTATTTTTACACTTGTTATTGGCAGCGATTTTGGTTGCTATATGCTATATGGTACGGATTATTTGTATGTTAAATAGTAGTTTGGATTTCTTGTGTGTTATTGCTCGATGTGGTTAGTTTTGTGACAAAGTTGCTTCCAAAATTTGCACAATTGTGGCTGTGAGGGTAGTTATTAACCCACAACCTAACATTCTCTTACAGGTCTCATTCTAGTTGCACAGAGGAGGTGTTTAATGCACAATTGAAACTTTTTATCAAGTTTACCATCCTTAAATCAAACTACGCGGAAATTCGGCATTTACTAAAAATATGAACCACAATTTTTTTTTTTCAAGAAAGAAGGAGAAAAACAAAAACATAACAACATGAGAATCCTGAAAGCCAGAAGATTTGATGCTAATCACACTAAATGAGATTGGTAACAAGTACCGAACTGAAGATGACTTAATTTTAGATATGCTAAACCAAAAGTTTCATTAGATCTTGAAGAAGCTGAATGAATCCTGGCCGAAGAACAACCATTGGGTATCTGACTCTTTGGTATTGCATGCCACTTATCAATGTACCCCATCGATTCCATGTCTAAGTTGGGAAGTTGGCGTGCTTTGAGAATTTTCAAGGTTTTTTTGGATATGCCAAGAAGCTGAGCTGCAGTTCTGATGTTATCTTCCCTTTTCTCTATTGCATTGTCATGACACTTCAGAATTATGACACGTGGCAAGTTGGTAAAGCAAGCACATAGAAGATCTGCGATTATGGTTGATATCAACTCAAAGAGTTCCTCATCCGTTGGCCAATTTTCTTGCTCATTGCAGTGAAGCAGTATGGTTTGGCTGATCCTTTACATACAACTTGCAGCAATGAACTTACAACGTGAGTGATCCAGACTTACATTTTTCGTTGTCTTGAACTGTATCACAATTTTTTCTGCTTCATCACCCAACCATTGAAGAATCTCCTTCGATGTTTTTCCTTTACGAGCCTTCTTTTGAAGATCAATTTGAAGCCACTTGCAGCAGACTTCGATATCTGTCCACACATGTGTAGCTGCTTTTCTTGCCTTTAACAACTCACCATTTATATTGAGGCTTTCTTCAATATGTCTTACAAATTCGAGACCTTCACTCATGCTGTCAAGCAAACCCTTGATGTAGCTGTTTACAATGTTAGGAAGAGAAAGCACAATGGCTGTTAATGTTACTGCTACTAGGCTCCAGCAGTTTTGGGTTTCTTCTGGATGTAAAGGTGGAACTTGATCACTGTCGAACTCTATTACTCCATTGAATCCAGTAGATTTCTCAAGAAGAATCATAAGATTCCTTGGCTCTTTCTTTTCAGACTCTTGAAGAAGTCGAGTTATAGAGCTGAGGGCATTTCGTAATATTCTTTTTGAAAGCTTCGCATCCTGTTCGATTTGCAGGACATAACCGGTATATTCTTCCACATTGGATATGGCATTGCTGCTAGATGTATTTGGTTCTCCCTTAAACTTTTTCAAAGAAGACTTGCAGAAACGGCAACAACAAGAGAATAAGATCAGAAAAGATATGGGAATGAGACATATTGTTTTACATATAACCACAACCATAATCTAAAGCACTATACAAAAGTTCAAAATTATGTTTCTGATGTTGCGGAAAACTTTCTTGCGATGGCGGCCTGGGAGATATGAAGGGACATGGCTGTGTTTCCAATGCTGAAGCCTTTGAATCCAATGCTTCTCAACATGGAACACGTTTAGATGATGCATGCTCCATTTCATGGAGAGGTTGAAGTGACTTGTGATAGTCAAACATCTGAAAATTGGTGCTATACTACCAACTAATGTCCCACTTAGTTGCAAGGGAATAATCACGTGGATTGACCATTTATAATTAGATTTCTCATTATGTACGTCACCTTGTATATTAAAAACCAAAACACCAAGTGAAATGAATGCAAGGAGTGAGCATATAACGCCAAAAACAGAAGAAACAGGGGAACAAGCAATTGCAAATTGGGGGTTACCAGTGTCCGCCATCATCCAATACTTTTTAACATAACAAATGAGTAGCTTGTTGGAGAAGTTTATCTGTTGATGATTAGAAGCCAAACTGTGCAACTCCTTGTAACGTTGTTGTAAAAGTCTTCTAGATGCTGAAACTGTCAAAGCTACCGAAATTGGCCATGGAATTAAAAGAATCAATAAAATGAACAATGCTGCCAAATTCACCCAAGCAGTAATAAATTGGATCCACATTTTAACATGAATGGTGTATAAGAGGATACACAAGGCCATGGTATTCAGCAGAAGTTCCTTGTCATTCATAAGCCCTAAAGATGGGAGAAAGTTGGCTAACATGGTAGCCAAGAACATGATGCTGACACTCTTTGCTAGAATAATCTCAAGATTGCGCGATATGTCGTTGCTAAGATCCACTGTTAGCTTCGTTGATATTGCTATCAGTGTAATGGAAACAGAATTGATGGTAAAAAGTCTGCATGGAAACCAGAGCTTCCGTTGTCGAAAGCCTTGGAAGACATCAGCTGCCATTGCTAGAGTGCAAACCAGAGATGCTACTGAAATATACACTCCCACCCATGGCATGGCGTCTTCAGGAGAACCCTGTGTCATCTTGCTAGTCCAGAGAAAATGAAGAGCTTAACTAGATCTAGCTAACTGATACTGATGCTTGACATATATAGATAGGAGTTCAAGAAAGATTTTTATTTAATTTTCTTAAATTTGAACAAGGAGAATATCCATGAAACAAAATAATGAGAAGTTAAAAAGTGTACGTCTCAAGGAATATGTGGTCAAGACATCTTAATATCGATGTATGCATTATAATGTACGTGCTACTATTCGTCTACATTTGCAGAGAATCTTTTGAATTGACATCAATATATTTTTATGTTTTATATATATATATATATATATATATATATATATATATATATATATATATATATATATATAAGGACGGCCCAGTTGTTCTCGATCACGTATGAAGGTTATGATTACGTGAAAGTAACGTTTTTTTAGTCGATAAAGGAAAGTTAGCGATGATTGGTTTTTTGAGTTTTAGGAAGAAAACTTCCTACTATAACCCGCAACCAAAAGAATTAGAGTTACAACAATACCTTTGAAGGGCTAATATGGAAAAAGAGTAAAAGGTGGGAGGTCATTTGAGATTGCTAGATACCAACAGGTGTCCTTCAGAGGTAGGCAAGGGGAGGTCATCGGTGTTTTAGAGAGAGAAAGATGAAGAAGAAGTGGCTGTTGGAGATGTTTAACGTTTAACGGATAATTGACTTTTATAATTAATTTTTTAGTTACAACAATAAATGGAGCTGAATGTAACGATATATTTGTCAATTGAAAACTTTTAATTTAGAAACAGTTTAATACTAACAAGAAACAAAAGCAAACTACAGATTAGGATCTGTAGTATACTTTTTTTTTTTTTCCTATTTTGGTCCAATGGCTACAAATTAATATAGCAAATGACTAAAAACAATTTATGAATAACAAAAATTATAAAATATTGTTAATCATTTACCACCCAGTGTAACTTATATGGTTTCATTGATATTATATTTACGGCAGTTGATCAATAGAAGATGTCTTATAAAACTATTACAAAAAACGATCATTCAGAAATACCTACTCCTTAAATCATCAAATATTCTATCAATTAGGGATTAAATTGGAAACTCCATACTGATATATCAAAAACATCATATAGTTTCCACAATTGACATGTGTCACTCAATTTACTGGTAAAGAAATTTATAACTCTTGTTATTTAACAAAGTCAATTAGTACATGAGATATAGAGAAATAATAATTCATAAAAGTAGATTGTTGATTCATGAAAATAATAACGATAAAAAATAATTATATTAATAAAGAAGGATGTTTGCAACGAGTACGAGACTTAGAGTCGCCATAGAAGAAATAGACGTACAGTACCCACCACCAGCAGAGAGTTAATGTCATTATTACTTGGAACAGGACCTTTAATCTGATGACCAACTTCAGGTTCTTTCATGATCTGCATAAGATATAGAGATAAATAATAAGGGATAATGATTAAAAGAATAATATATTTTTTGATTTGTAAATATTTAGTTACTGATTTTTTTTTTGTCTATATTTACCCCTTCAACTTGTTAAACTATACACATTCAGTCCATATGACCGGTTACTCCATGTTAGCCAGGAAAATGACTTAATAGGGTAATATATTTTTCATTTTGTACACATTTAGTCCTTAAAATTTTTGTACACATTTAGTTGTTAATATTTTTTTGTTTCAAAATAAGTCAGTTTTGTTTTTGTACTCATTCAGTACTTATGAATGATTTCTTTAGGTTTTCTCACGACATCTTACGTGGTACAATCATTGATGAAGTGTGTGCGGCTGTTGATGTTTATGTGTAACGTCTCATTTTCACAACAAAAAATTTTCATTTTTAAATAAGGCAAAACTCCCTAATTATAAATCCATTATTAAGAAAAAAACGTTTATTCCAAAATTTATCAAAAATCAGAGTAATATAAGAAACGCGGAATCCTCAATACTGTTGATGAGTGTGTACAGTCATGCATTCGCCTTCCCACGATCAACGATAGAACCTGAAAACATAAACAACTGGGTAAGCATAAAATTTAGTAAGTTTCCCCCCAAAATACCCGATACAACAAACGTATTATCATGCATAACAGACCCACACTCATCAGATTGGAATACCTTGGCTCAATCAGTCATCCGACTGGAATGCCAACACACAACAGGTCTAATCAGTCATCGGACTGGAATACCAAAGGTTTGTCGGCATGCCGCCTTAACCCAACTGCTCTTCTCGAGCCTCTGTGCCTACAACTTACAGCCAATCCACACCAGGTATCTTGGCCTACAACATATAGCAGGACCACCTAAACCTATCTCGCCACCATATCGCTATCCCACTTAAGATGTGAGAAAAACCTAAAGAAATCATTTATAAGTGTTGAATGAGTATAAAAACAAAAATTACTTATTTTGCAACAAAAAAAATATTAAGGACTAAATGTGTACAAAAATATTAAGGACTAAATGTGTACAAAGTGAGAAATATATCACTCTATTAAGTCCTTTTTACCGACTAACCTGGAGTAGCCGTTCATAAGGACTAAACGTGTACAGTTTTACAAGTTGAAGGGGTAAATGTGGACGAAAAAAAAGTCAATGTCTAAATGTGTACAAATCAGAAAATATATTACATTTTTAAGTCATTATCCCAAATAATAATTCACTAATTAACATTTTAAATTCTTTGAAAAACGAGTAAACGAGCTTACTTGTATTTCTTGCAAACAAAATATATCAATTAATTTCTCCGCAGCATAAAAAACATATCTACCTAAAATCAAGTTTATTGGTGATGGACCACACTCAGTCTAGAGTTGAAATCACTACTTCCTTCTTTTGCTTCATTCTCCACATTCAGTCAATAAACAAGAAACAAACCACACTCAGATTTATTAACCTAGAAACAGATTATATCTGTAAGCCGTTAGAAAATGAAAATGGAGACACCATTTTTTCAGATGGCAACACCCATGGCGGTAAGTGGTTGGAGGAAAAAGAAAGAAGGGTTACAGATAAAGGAAAAGGAACAAGAAACAATACCTTACATTACTGAAATCATCAAAGCTTAACTGAAATCAAGGCTACAGAGAGGTTAGGACTTCAAAAATAACAAGATATATAAAACGACTCCACGTTCATAGGTGAGAGGAAATAGAGACGGGAATTCAAAGTGAGATAGAGGATGAGAGGTGAGAATAAGATGGGACGATTTGATTACATTTTGATTAAACCTTTAAATCCTTCGCCATTAAAGCCTATTCCAAGAAGAAATAGCCAAAATCAATTGCATATGAAAAAAATATGACAGCGTAATCCTTTTTTAGAGAGAGAAAAAAGGAAGAATATAGTCGGACACAGATTGATAAATTAAAAAGAATGATCTTTCTTGAATGAAGGTAATGGACATATATGGCGGTGGTAGAATACTGGAGAGGTTAGATGGAGATGGCAGAGGTTAACAGGTGGCCTAATAGGTAGAAGCGGTGATAGCAAAGTCTTGGAGTGACTTGTTGGATTAGATGTGTAAGCCAATAACTATTATTGGTATGTACTTGACCCGAGAGTAGCATGGTCCATTTGGGTTGCATATCATCAGGACAATTTGTTAGGATGGACTCTTGAGAGAAGGTTATATATGATTTATTAATATATTATAAGTACTAATATATTAATATGAAATCATATGGTTTTAATTAGTATTGATCAAGAATTAATTTAGAATTGATTTAGTGATCAAAAAGAAACTAATAAATCTATGGGGACTAATTATGTTGATTAGTTATATTCATGTGTGTTGGGCTTATGATCCATGTTGGACCAAGTTTATGTATGGATACATAAAGAGTTGGGCCACATGAACCATGGATCATAAGACCCATGTGTATGGATTTGGGTTATATCCATGACCCTAGAAATCCCACATATAAATACATACTTCATTGCCCAAAATCTTGACTTGTGTATTCTTGGAGTTCATGGTGGTTTTGGGTGCATGGAGATTCTCTCTCAAGTTCCTCCTTTGTCCATGATGTGTTGTGATTCCACTTGAGGCTTCCACACTATTGGGGCTAAACTCTTAAGGCTAGATACATCAAGACTTCAATCTCTACCATAAGGTTTGTTATCCTAACTAGATTCTTGTGTGGTATATGACAATTGTATGCTAGTTATAGGTTTAATACCTTGGAAACACCATTGCATGTATAATTAGTGAAAACATAGATCCAAGGTAATTAGGGTTGCATGAACACCTTAGGAGTGTTAGAATGCTCAAAACCCAACAGTGGTATCAGAGCCTAGGATTGTTTTCAATTATACTTGATGCAAATTGCTGAAAAATGCTGAAAAATCGATTTTCTGCTGTTCTGGACAGTGGACTCGCCGAGTCCACTGATGGACTTGCCGAGTCCATGCACAAATTCATCCAACTCGTCGAGTTGGTTCTTGCACTCGACGAGTTGGACCCCCAGACAACATATCTTTGAGTTTTAAAGCTGGAATTGGTCTAGAATCATTACCTTAAACTGTTTTGGACTTATAAAACCTGTTTTTAAATGTGGTAATGATTATGGTAAACCAATTTCAAAGTTATTATCAAATTTTCAAGTTTTATATATGTTTATATGATTCTTGAAAATTGTTGATATGGATTGTTCATGCTTATGAGTTTTGGTAGATCATAGGAATTATGTGCAAATTGTTTGTTAGTGTAATTTTTTATCTCAATGACATTGGATGGACTCCATAACTTGTCCTCAAGTTATGGAACACCAAAAGGTTTTGTGTTACCTTGTTTTATGAGTTAATTTAGATTAATAAAAAAATTATGTGTTAGTTGTTTTCAATATAAATTGATCTAAAAGTAGTTCATAAAATGTGTTTTTGTAACTTGTTCTCAAGATTATATGAAAAGTCACATTTATGACTCTTAAAACTCATAAAATTGTCATAGGTTACAAAATGAAGAGTCTTTTTGTCATAAATAGTTTTATGAACA